TGTACAATAGCTGTGCTAGATTGTTGCCTCGTGATGGCCAGTCCAAAGCTACCTTCCAAATAGACCTCACAAGGTCATGACACACAGCACCCTCACATACATGCACACCTACACGGACAGGTGTGCACAGCAAGGCACCCACTGCAGCTCAAAGTGAAAGTGAACATTCACATACTGAGCACTGAAACACACGAGCATAGCATCTCTCCACTGGCAACACTAGGAGAATAGGATTGAAAGCAACAAATGATGTGGAAGAATTAAATATTTCTTAATTTAATAATTATGTAAGATTTGTTTTACAAATATGCTTTCTATATTAACAGACTACAAGTTTATTATGAATATATCAAGTTTAATTTTAATTAAGATAGTTTTTTATACAGATCTATTTTGATATGAATTTGAAAAAAGCAGCTGAAGCATTTTCCTTCTCCCAAGAATTATTTCAAAATAATGTTTTATCTATATTAACCAAGTCTTTTTTATAAATATTAAGTAACTGAAAATAGTTATTCCTATATCTATATGAAAATTGTCACTACATTCTAAAGGAAAAACATCAAAACCTATTATATAAATGATGACATTAAAATTATTTCTATAATAAATGTGTACATTTTTAAATTAAGACAAAACTTTCCTGTATTAGTTTTGACTTGAGTAGGTATAAATTATCAAATTACTTAACCAACATAAAATACTGCTGTAGTGAGTGATGTGTATATTGTGTACTTATGCATCCTTCTTTATTACTATATTAACATGAAAAATAGGGTCACATTTTTACTAATTGTGTAACTATAACTGCGAATAATTCTATATAATAACTTTTATCTTGAAACATTAGCTTTTATAATTGGATCTTGAGTTTTACACTTGTCTCAGTAATTCCGATCCTCAGGACAAACTTCGCAGAGGTGGCAACACTAAAGGCAGGATCTTGAGTGAATCAACAGCAGGCCTTTGCACATATCTACCAGCAGGTGGAGCAGACAACATAATTTATTACCCAAGAACAAGGGCAAGGGAATGTGTCAAGTTTATTTGGAATAAAACAAATCTGTAAATGACATTTTCTTCAAAGGAAATACGTCCTATGTGTGGTAGATTTAGCTTGACTGGTTACTGAATCAAAATAAACAACTCTATTAAATAATCAATCTTTGCAGGAAGATAAATTTACAAATGGAGGCAATGCTTGCATTTTACTTTACTCAAATCAACTAAAATTAGCTTTCCTTTCAAAAAACTTTTACAGGGATGAAGATTTTTTGATATGTTCATTTAGTAAGGGCACTAAACCCAATACTGTTATATAGGTGATGGGGTGCATAACAAATAGTATTTTCTGGGAAATATAATTGAGTAATCCTATTATGTCTGTAGCAACAAATTAACCTTATTACTACTAGTAAATGGTGATTGATTATTTATGCAAATAAGTTACTATGTTCAGCTTTCTGATTGAAATAAACATATACAAAAGGTGCTTTACTACGACTTGAACTTTTTAATTAATAAAACCCTGAGGGGTCTATTAATTTGCTCATTGCAATATTGGTTATTTGCTTGTGTAATGCCTATTAGCACAAACATATTTGCTTGAATAAAGATGAGATAATTAATACCTATAAAAATTAAGCAATAGTTTTTAGAATTATTTTAAGATATGCATTATGTTTATGCTGGAAATAGGCTTAGGCTGACTTTAAAACTTTGTGATCAATATATATCAATATACCAGCAAAGTAATTCTGAAATTATTACTAGATTAACACATGATTTCATTCATTATCTATATCTGAATTCACGAACACAATCTTAGCTTACAAAATTCTTCACCTTTTAAAAACATTATTAGTTTAAATTAATGTTTTGCTTTTACTCATCTAGGTTAAGGTATTTTAGAACTATGAAAATTTAGTGCAAAAATTAGTATTTTATAAACTATACTAATAATAGCTCCTAAATTATAGATAATTTTGGGCCGGGGATCTAGCTCAGTGGTTCTGGCGCCTGCCTCGAAAGAGCAAGGATCCGAGTTTGATCCCGGTACCCCAGCACCAAAAAAAAAAAATTACTGACAATTTCAATAAAAATAGTATCTCTTTACTAAAAAATGCTAGATAGAGTTTTTAATCAGGTTGATAGACTTTTTCTTATCATGATATACTTCTCATAAAAATTGTTTACATTTGAATATTTATTTGGTCAATATTTTTTTTTTTTGGTTTACCCTTGTGACTTGCAATAGGTTTAAAATTCAATCTCTTATATCGTAATGAAGAATACTGATTTAAAGCTAAATAAAGAAAATCTTATGAGACATGAGGAGTAAAACACACATTTTCCAGGATTATCCAGTCAGTACAACTAACCCCCCAAACAAAAGAAACAGACGAGCGCTAAGATAATACTCTTGTTTTGTCACCAACAAAAATAAAAATAAAAAGTTTGCATCTCCATTGGTTCACAGTGTCGTCCTTTCATTTCTAAAGCTACCTATCGACATATATTAAGACCAGCACAACAACGTGCCAGAGCCAGACAAAAATGCTGGATATTTTTATAACATTCTGCTCAAAGGGGGATAAATTGAGAACATGATTTCACCTGCAATGTCCTGGGGTCTGGGGAGCCATGTACAAAATGGGGGCTGTCGAGGGAGCGGGCATCAACATAAAGACCCCACTATAAAGACCGCAAACAAATTTTCATGGGAAACAAAAGCAAATGAGAAGGTGACTGCTTGCAGTTGGACTAATGGAAGAAAGGAAAGAACTTTAGCTTATCCGTGATAGGTTAAATTCTAGTACTGTGATGGTTATCTCTTACCAAATGCCCTCTGAGGGCTTGGCACTATTCTAAATATTTCGCACTTAGTCTTCATACTATTATTTCAAGATAGGTTTCAATGTCCTGCATGTAGAGAGTGAAGCATAGGCTCAGAAAACTCAAAGCATTCGAACACCCGACTCTCAGTGGCGAGCTGAGACAGCAGGACAGTTCTGCTTGCTTATGATGCCCACACCCTTTCTGCTGTGCCAGACATACACTGATATTACCACTGGCCTGCGTGGTGCATGCCAGGAGAAAAATGCAATGGGAATGTTCTTTGAAAATTCATTAAAGTGCATAACTCTCTTCTGGTGAGACTTGTAAAATTATTTGTCAAACCATGTGTTTAATTTTAAAAGTGAAATGAAATCAAAATAATTAAGGGAATGCACCTGAAGTCTTAATCATAGACTCTGGCCCGTGGATATTCGGTGGTACACTGTTTTTATTAGTTAAATGATTGAATCCTTATGGATGCTTCTTTTTCAAAAAGTGTTCATTGGCAGTGGTAGGGATCAGATGCACCACTATACACATACTAGTCAAGCGCTCTCCCGCTGAGCTACACTCCTGCCAATTTAAAGACTTCTTAGTCATTCCCTAAACTCTCAATATCCCCATACCCTTGGATTAAATAGGACAAAGTATTTCAGTTAAATTTGATTTCAGCATTTTTCTTTCTTTATTACTTTCTCTAGTACACTACTCATCGTAAATATAAACAGCACAAGTAGAATTCCAACTAAACAAGATTCAAAGTATAAAGAGGGGTTGCGATTATCAAAATTAACAACTATATATATATATCCTAAGGAATAAATTATTATTGGGTTTAAAACATTAAAAATGTTAATAGCCCTCTAATTTAGTTTTGATTTGTTTAATCAAAATTGAAATCGCCAGTGGTAATGTTGAAAAAAACATTTTGCTAGAAGGAATGCTTGGTTTTGGATTCTACATAAAAAATAGAGGCCATAATTACACAATTAAAATTTTGACATTGTTGCAGATGTTACAATAAAATTTTTAAATATCACCTCTGTTGCCTAGTTCAAGTAAAAAGATCTTGAAGTGGGTACACATCTATTACGATTGACTTTATGTTTGTGAACCAGTCACATACAGCTCTGAGTCTGTTTCCTTAGCTGTTAAGAGATGATAACTCAGCTGTATAGATCCAAGTAAATATAAAGATCATCATCGTTACTGGCATTCAGACTATCAAGTAAGGGTATTCTGTCCTGAATATACATGGTCAGCCCAGTGACTTACAGGCTGTACATCTGGATACCTATAAGAATGACATTCAGGCAGGCTGAGGATTTAGCTCACTGGTGCTGCCGCCTGTCTCACAAGTGCAAGGTCCTGAGTTCGATCCCCGGTCCAAAAAAAAAAAAGAATGACAGTCAGTCTCAGGGCTCCCCCTCCACCACTGGGACTAGCTTCACCCACCCTTGAAGACTTGACTATGCGACTGCCTAGAACTACAACTTAGACTTGAAGATTTATGAGAAAATAAACTCCTGGGTTCCTGGTTCATGCATTTTAAAACCATATTTTGTCTTTTAGCACAATGTTATACAAGCAAGGTATTCTTTCCGAGCAATTGTGGCAAAATCTGAGGTCCTGATATTTTAGCAAGTTACATGAGAAAAAATTTCTGAGTCTCTCAAATTCTACACTTATCTTTCTATACGAAGATGTCATTGCTGAAGAAACTTTATTAATAGCTTTACCTAAAATCTCCCACCGAAACCTAGGAAAGGGTGGAAGGATGTTTTCATCTTAGCATTTGCTCCGTTAAGAGAAAACCTGAGAGCCTCCTCCGTTTAATAGCATTTAGCTCTTGGTCAGTTGGCAACAGTAAGCCCCTGGGAATGAGCTGGGAGCCCGGGCGATGCCCTTGGCATTGTGCCCGGGCGGTGGCAGGTCACTCTGCTGGCTGGGCCCTCTCCCCAGTGAGCAGCAGCCGCCTGTATGAGACGCTGTCACACAGGAGCCACGGTGCCGCGATCCCCACACTGACGCTCGAAACTGAACTCGAGGTAATGTCTTTGTGGTATCTTGTCAACAGGGCAGGTCCCTCTCAGCCTGCTAGTTTGTCTTTGTCAGGCGAGGGCCGGTGGCCTGCGGGAGCTGTCAGGGACAGGTGGACCAACCTGCTTTGTGCTGAGGAGGTAATGCATCTTCCGGGCTTCCTCTGCTCTTTGCTTCTCTTCCCTTTCCAGCTCAGCCTTCTTCTCCTCGCTTTCTTGAATCTCCGCGTACTCCTGCAGTATCTCCCTGCACAGAAACCATCCGCAGTCATTTATGACAACAGCTCTTAATGTTTTTATTCTTTCCATCAAGTTTTCTGAGGAGCAGCCGCCGTCCATGCCCTATCAAAATCAGCAGTGTCGCCTATCCGCCATGTAAAACTTCGCCAACTTAGAAAGCATCTGAATGATTTTTCAGTATTAATCTCTAAAAATCAAATGCCTGTATGCTATAATTTATCTAACAGCCAAGGAAATGTTCACACTTAATGCTAAGCAAGGGGCTTTCTACGTTATCAGTTTCTTCGTTTGCCGATGTAGCTGTTTTGGACAAACTTAAACATCCCAAGAAAGGATCTCTGCTGCTGATTTCCTTTAAAGTTTGGTTTTGTATTTACAAATCTCTAATTATTTATTTTGTGAAATAATGGACTAAGCTAAAAAGTGACAAGTTTTATACATGTGCTCAATTTGTTCTAAATGTACTTCAGTTAACAATTCAAAAAATAGCAATAAGATTACATATATTATCCCCATTTAAATGATTGACATTTTGTTCAGTTATATAATTAGAATAAAAGTTAGATAATGTGAATAAATTCATTTTTTTTCAAAGTACAACAGATTTCATTAAAATAATGAAAATTTTCATTATTTATATGTGTATAACTAAGGAATTCCAACAAAAATAATCTTCTAAATACACTATGAGCAAAACACTTGCTAAACCAGACATGGTATCATCAAATTGGAAAATAACAAATCTTTCACTTTCATAGGACAAATTTAATATTCTTTCAAAATGATATTTTGAAATTATACCTTAGTCCTTTTAAAAAATAGATACACACTTTAGTGTCTAGTTCTAAAGTAAATTTCAAACAAAACCCCTGAGCATTTTCCTCAGGATACATCAGGGAACAGGAGGGGAAACTTGCCAAAAAATCAAAAAGACTCCCTTTTCTACTTTGATATCCAGAAATATTTTTATTGGCAATCTTCTGTGAAAGGCTCCGACTACAATACTTTACACAAGGTTACTTACGAGACACGTTGACATGTAAAAATCACCGTGCAATGCTACTGCAGCAGAGCAGTGTTTTTGAACATAAGATTAGATTGCAAAACAAATGAATTACTTGGAGTGCCATGGCCGCCATTTTGCCCCCCTTCTCTTGAAAATTGCTTATTAATATGACAAAAGGAGTCAGATAATAGCCTGTTTTACTCTATACATAGTATTTGGGGGGCCTCTGTGTGCAGGGAGCTGGACTAGCTGCACATTTAGACCGCACTGACAAGCGGGCAGGACGACCTCTCCGACCTGCATCTCGGGGCTATTATTAATCGCTGAGTAACCTGGTAAAGCCAAACAAATTTGTTTCCATTGAAAGGATCTCTATCTGTGTCTGAGAATTTGTTGTGTACCAAACAAACCTCATTAACTGTGTCCATTTTTGACAAAGAACCAGGACTTAGAGGGGTTGGTGACCTTTCTTTGTCCTTAAGGTACAAATTTCAAGGCAGTTACACATGAACAAATGAAAAGTTTTACCAGGAAAAAAATAACAACCATATGTTACAGTAAAAATTGAGTTATTTATTTTAATCCTTACTTTTGATATTATATAAAATATAAGTATTCTATAATTCTTCTCATAAGGCTTTAAAATAATTTAGAATAACAAATGAACTCCCACTATGATACTCAAAATTATATATATAATTTATATTTCTCCAGAGATAAATACAGTTGTTTTCTTAGCAATCATAATGAAAAATACATCTATACAGAAGTTTATGCTGTATAAATGGTTTAGTAAATACAAAGAGAGGTTACATATCAAGAAAGGCCCAATACAATTAAAAAGATATAAAGGGTAAGAAGGCACAAGAAGTACACAGGACTCGGGTCCAAAATCAAAAGCATAAGGTATCTGAGTAGCAGCTAATAAAAACCCACGAGGACGTGGGGGACCAGCCCACTCCGTCTCTGTCTCACTTCATACTGTTCTCTCTTGCAGCCCTGGGCTTCAGATCAAACGGCTGTATTCCCTTTCCCAGCACATAATTTCTCTCTAGCTCTTACATGCTACTTTCTCTCTTGAACTTCCTTCATGGAAATACAGATTCTCTTCCCACTTTCCTTCTCACTTACCACACCACAATTTCATTTTTCCTCCTGACAAAATTTATGATCACATATTTATGAACAGATATTTTTTAGGTACTGTGTGTCTCTCCCCTACTAGACACATGTGCTACAATTCTAGGAAAGTAAAGAGTGTGTCTGTCTACGTAGTCCATGTCTATTTGAGTGAATAAGTAAATAGATTTTATAAAGGCAGTCTGGACATAAGACTGTTCAGTTGGAGATTTTATGTTAAAGAACTGAGTCTACTGTTTGCCTATAAATATTTAGGTTTATGGATGTGAATGATGACAGAACTAGAGAGAACTGACTCCAAAGATGAGTACACCACAGTGCTCAGTCTTAGCCCAAATGAAAGCTGCCATTACTTCCTAGCATGCAATAATTCATGATTTTCCTGCCATGCCCATTTTGCCAACTCCTAGCCACAATATATTATACATGAATCTACATACACTACGCTCTCTGTACTCCCCCTACTGAGGTCTAAGGTCCTGCTATGGACTAAATGCTGTGTCCTTCAAAATTTATAGGTTGAAGCATGAATTCACAATGTGATGGAATTTGGAGCTGGGACCTTTCCACACAACTAAGTCTAGAAGTGGAATTCCCTGATTGAGATTCGTGCCATTCATTGTGAGGAGAAACTCAAAATAGATGCTCCCTGTCTCCATCCAAGAAGACACAATGAAAAGACAGTCATCTGCACACAAGGAGAGGCCCTCCCTTGCCAGGTGCTAATTTGTGGCCCCCTGACCTTGAACTTTCTGGTCTCCTCAGAGTGAGGTGCAAATTTGTCTTGTTTAAGGCATCAGGTCTCTGGTTCTGATACAGCAGTCTGAACTGCCTGAGATGGGTCCTGAAGGTCAGAAGTGATGTTTACTCATTCTCGTGGCCCTCCCAAATCGCCTGGCCTGATACCCAGTGGGAGGAATCGCTAGTCCGGGGACGGATAGAACTCATTACTTACATCCTTTTTAACTGTTTCTTGGCCAACTAACATATTTCCTCACTCCTGATGGCTTAATTATGAGAAGGAAGGAGCTGCACTGAAGAAAGCCTCTCCTAGACAGTGGAGGGGAACCTGGCTCTTTGCCTAGGACTGTGGTTCTCCAGGCCCAACATTACCTAAGAAATGTGACAAAGGCACCTTAGCGGACTGCACTGCAGACCAGCTCCATGCAGAGGCCTGGGAGCGAGGCCCTTGTGCTCGGGAAGCCTGTCTACAGCAGTGCAGACCAGCAGAGCTGTGGGAGGACTGGGACAATTCAACTCTGTCCACTCACTGCATAGCATCATGTACAAATGCAGTCTTGCGTCAGCCAGCAGTCCTCACAGCAGTCGCCATTAACTGAAGCACTAGGAAGCACTACAAGAGCACGGGGTATGCACAGCACAATAATTTCACAGATATCATAATTTGATAGAAAAATAAGGAATCATGGTGATTGCACAAATGCCCCAAATTTCAAAGGGAACGAGGCTAGATACATTTCTGAAATAAAAGCAAAATGCCATTAGCTGCCTCATCGTTTAAAAACCCCCCAGATTTTAGGAGATTGACTTAAACCGCTCTCTAGCATCCTCTCTGTCTTGATGTCGTCAGCATGTGCAGTAAGAAGGTTCAGAAGAAAACCCGACAAACACCATTAGTTTTTGCTGTGATGTACTGTAACGTAAGTATTTTAGTTAACTTACCACCCAAATTAGTTTTGTCTTTAATGATTGTCCGTTCTCGATATCTCATAGTTAACCAAATGAGACAAAAACAGAAAAGAAAGGAAGTCTAAAATACAAGTAAAAATACAAGTAAATATAGCTTATCTTGGTATTTGCCACACAAAAGTATTTTTAAAATAACTGGGTTTACATTTTCTGGAAACTTAAACATTTTGGAACTATTTCAAAAGGTCCTCTCATTCTAAGCAAAGAAAACAACTACTCTTGAAAATCCTGTTTGTGGCAGAATAGATGAGTTTCTCTCCAAAACGTTAGTACTGTCAAGAAGAGAAATAAGAGTCCTTGGTTCCTTGTCAGGCAGTCACAAGCATGATTCAGTTAATAAAACAAATACAGACATGTAAAGTGCATGCCTGCTTCCAAGGAGCTTTGCCTATGCACTACAGCACAAGGAACTCCAGCCGGAGGCGGTCCGGGCAGCAGCACATGCGCAGTGCTGAAACTCAGGAGCTCAATTCTGATTGGAGGGATCGGGAAGAGCCCGGCATTAGAGTTGGGAATAAAACCAACAAGGCGACCACAAAACAGGGAGCAAAAATAGAGAGGAACAGTACTGAAGTGCAGCCAGGTATTCACAAGGTACTCGTGTTCTCTTTGGTAGAACGTGACCATTAATAGCAAAGGGCAAAAACGCACAGGAATGTGGAAGACAGGTTTCTGGCTGTCGATGAGTGAGTAACGCTAGTGAACCCGTACTCCCTGTCTACACATTTTGAGACTAAGGAAAGAAAAATGGATGCGAATGGCCAATATTGTAAAATTACAATGCCTCAAATTCTCTGATTGTAGAAAGGGACTGTCCAGCTGTAACAGGGACTTAGAGGCTGGGTCTGCAGATGTCCAGTGGGTAACTGAAAGCAGCGTCAAGCCTGGCATCAGCCTCTTCCTGTGCCTTTAAACACTGGGTCAGACCCATGCTCAGCTCCGCATGAAGACACGCTAATCATTAGGCGAGTCTGGCTAGAAGCTGGCAATACAGGATCATTCACCTAAATTGACCTAAACCACCCCATTCCCCTTCTTCAAGACTGAGGACACAAAGAGGAACTGGGGTAGGTTCAAGATGTGCAGGGATTCTCAATCGCCAGCTTTTACAACATCCTGGTCCAGACAACCCGGAGCCACACCCAGACACC